GCACACACGCGCGCACACACACAGACACATACATCCATTTTTCCTAAGATATGCCAAAATTTTCAGAAGAAACCTCTGGAAACGGAAAGTTATATAAAATTTTCATATTTGATTTTTTGCGATTACTATGACTTACCCTAAGGGAAGTTAATACAAAAATTAGAAAAACCACTACCTTAGTCATTCCTTGGAAGAATGGCGGATGTTAATGTATGTAGAGCTTTTATCCCATGGATAAATCTTGCCACTGGGAGCTTCAAGTTCTTGCCAATTCGGAGAGCCTTTTTCTATTTGCCCATAACCTGAAATAAAAATGAGACAACTTAAACAATATTTTCTTTGTCTCGTTGATTCAAATCAACATAAAGCCATAATTTTATTAATTAATAGTGTTAATTTAATTTCACGTTAAGTTAGTTAACATCGAAAAGAACAAAAAAAAATTAAGTTTAGTTTTGCTAATTATATGTACCTCTTTGAACATAGCAGGAATCACATATTTTTGTTCTACTTGCTGAATTTCATCTCTAGAAGGCCATATATCCGCCAAAAACACTGCAGAACCATCCGCACGCTTACCTACAATAATTATTGATAACAATGTAAAAAAAAAATTATAATCACTCTTCATAAATCCGTTCATCAAAGAAATGTACAGAAAATACATGTACCATTTGATTTAGATTGCGCTGAAAACTTAAAAGTTTAATAATAAAATTATCCGTCCAGATTATTCTCATGCGCAATGCAATTTTCTACTCCAATACAATAAAACAAGGTAGGTACTAAATAGAATACAATATAGTAGTAAATATATATTGAACAAAGTACATGTTGAAGTAAAAAAACTTTCATTAATTACAATGTTATAATTAAAATATGTCTCACCGATAGGTTCCTTTTCAAAATCGATACACACAGTACCAGCAATTGCATAAGCCACAACAAGCAATGGACTGGCTAAATAATTGGCTCTGGTATTTGGATGTATCCTACTTCGAAATTTCGGTTACCAGATAATACACCGCAGCACACTAATTCATTCTAATAAAGAAAGTTAAATAACAGCAATAACCTAACAATATTAATTTCAATTAGTGCATAACACTCACAGATTCGATTGTATTCGCCACATTTTCTTCGAGCGGTCCACTATTACCGATGCAAGTCATACAACCGTATCCAACTACATCAAATCCAAGTTTTGAAGATACGGTACCACGCCCGACTCGCGCAAGTAATACGTTACAACACCAGATCCTGGAGACAGAGATGTTTTGATGTATGGTAGAACCTGCAATATGCAATATTTGCTATGTATTTAGTAAAATCTTTTAGAACCGTTAGATTTGAACGATTGTAAAGATATGTTGAAACTAACGAAAAGACCCGCTTCAACTGCTTTCTTTGCCAACAAACCAGCTCCCAAATGACACTAGGATTACTGGTGTTCGTGCAACTTGTTATGGCGGCAATTACGACCGAACCGTGTCCAATTCGATACTTCTTGCCATCAGACCACGTAAACTCACCGAACCGTAAGTCTTGCAACCGAGCCGGTGCAAGACCAAAACCTTTAAATCCAACCTAAAAGGATAACGGATAAAATAGAAACCTTAAATTAATTACACAGCTCTATTTACAAATGTAATTATCATAATTTAAATTATACTTAGGATATGTTTACTTTTCAACTTCTTTGAAAAAAATATATGTTTTCGAAAAAAAAATATCGATTTGCTAATTTTATGTTTACTCGTCATTCTGAATCGTTGACATCAAATTTGAAAAAAGTATGTGTGTATGTATGTACGTGAGCCAAAATTTCACCCTTCATCGATGTTTTCTTAAA